CAATCTCCCGGCGGGGACTTGAGATCTCCTGGGCTTGCCTCACGGGAGTCTCTAACCCCACACTGAAGGTGTTGGTACTGACTTTTAAAGCCCTGTGCGGCCAGGGACTGATGTATCTGAGGGACCACCTTTCCCCATATGTGCCCCAGAGAGCCTTGTGCTTGGCAGACCACCATCCACTGGTTGTCCCCAGCCCAAAGGACATCTGCTTAGCCTCGACTAGGGCCAGGGTCTTTTCTGCCTTGGCCCCAACATGCTCCCGTCTGAGATCAGAGCCCTGCCGGGACCTATTACAGTGCAGCAGGGCCTGTAAAACGGAGCTTTTCCACCAGGCTTTTGAGTGAGGCAGCAGGTGTCCATTTATTTATTCCATCTTTTGGCCTCCCTTGCCAAAGCTTTCCATACGATACGGCCCATCTCTAGACGTTCTTATAGTCTGGTTTATGGCCCGGCTGCTCGAGTTTTGAGAACATTGTATTTGTAAATTACAGTGCCATCTGTTCTCAACTCATATGCCTCGTTTTAAACTGTTTTAATTATTTATTTCCTGTATTGTTTTAATTGTTATTTCAGACTGCTGTTGTAATGCGCCCTGAGCCCACTTGCGGGGAGGGCGGCATATAAAATTGAAGAGATAAGTAAATTTTCATGTGGTGTCAGCTATTCAGTAGCAAGCTGCCACTCATAGGTGAGTCACGCAGATAGTGTGGTAGCAAGTTGCCCATTGTGCAAGTCCTTCCTCAAAGGCTGAAACAGCCCTGGAAATGGCCTTGCCTCTCCCCCTTTCACCTGCTGTTTACTGACAGGAACCAAGGCTTGAAAGCTGGCAATACTATTGTTGCATAGCAACCCCCCACAATGGCCACTGACAAGGTATTTGTTTCTTGAACCTATGGGCTCTGCTTTTATTGGGGGGGGGTTAACCCTTGCAAGGCTTGCCAGACCCCCAATGTGGGTGGAGGTCTCCCGGTTTGGGGCACTCCTCCCCCCCAAAAAAACACCCCCTCTTACTGGCAGGAACCCAGAAATCATTGTGACATGCCTACAAAAATTGGAAAACCTACGTAAACTGGAAGTGATGGGGGGCAACGCCCTGGTTTTGGGGCAAAATTCTGATTTGAAGCGATATCTACCCTAGAGTTTTGCCCCCAAACCAGAGCATCACCTCCCCATGTCCCTACATCACTTCCAGTTTATGTAGGCACATCGCAACATTCCTCCCCACTCCTGGAAAGTCCTTCCCCTTCCCCCAGTGGCACAATGATTGAACCTGGCAACCTTTTTGCGTTTCTTTTTTTAAGATTCCAGATTTTTCTGCAAACCTGGGGCTTCTCAAGTTTGTAAATGAATCTTTTTGTCTGTTCATGAGTTCAGTCTCTGGATTTAAGCCTCTGCAGATGGGGTGACATTGAGAATTAGATATATTAATAAATTGAAAGGATCAAAGGGTGTTTTGTTTTCAGGAGTGACCACACAACCACCTCCTGTAAGGTATATGGGACAACCCGTTTCCTCAATGAAGACCTGACAACTTCTTGCATCCTTCTGGTCACTTTTTAATCTAAATGTCATAAGCCAAGAAGGGCAAGAGTAAAACAGGTATGGTCTAGAGCAGTGATGGCGAACCTTTTACAACACCCTGATTTTTGGGCAAAACTCTGATTTGAAGCGAAATCTACCCTAGAGTTTTGCCCCCATACCAGAGAATCACCTCCCCATGTCCCTACATCACTTCCAGTTTATGTAGGCACATCGCAACATTCCTCCCCACTCCTGGAAAGTCCCCTCCCCTTCCCTCACTGGCACAATGATCGAACCTGGCAACCTTTTTGCGTTTCTTTTTTTAAGATTCCAGATTTTTCTGCAAACCTGGTCTGGGCCTGGCTGGGGCGATGGCACGCATGTCCACAGAGAGGGCTCTGAGTGCCACCTCTGGCACCCGTGCCATAGGTTCGCCACCACTGGTCTAGAGTGAGCCGGCTCAGACTGGCAGCTTCAGCATCTCTATCTGAAGAGTCCCGTGTGACTCAGAAGTTTGCACATTAGAAATAATTTTCTAACAAAGAGGCACAGTCTCTTGCTGTGTTTCTTTTTTCCTGCAAGGGGGGGGAAGGTGATGTGCGAAGAAAGGGATCAGTCCTGGAGACTCCCCGCCCGAACATTCCAGTGTTGTGAAGGATGCTATCCAAACATGCTGCACAGCTGTGCTGTGGGAGCGCTATGGCAACAGCATTCCTGATATCCAAGGGTGAGCGGCTCACAGGGCCCCTCTTGCCGCTTTTGGCCTGCAGCCAACATCCCCTCCTGTTTATTTTGGCAGCACCTAAGCTGTCCTATCAAAGATTGAATCCCCTCCATCTTTGAAGACTGGGCCACAGTACCGATCCTTCTGCCACTCTGCCTTGTAGTTTCCCTTCTCCTCTCTCCCTCCACCCCCAACAGGAAAAGAGGGAGGGTGGAAGGAAGGAAGAAAGAAAGTTAGCCAGAGGAGACGGGGGCCTCACTGGCTGTACCCCCAGCCCCCTCTCCCGCTAGCAAAATACGATACTGGGTTACAATTTAATATGCAGAGGGGCCTTCTCTCTAATCTGACCGTTCGGCCCATCTAGCTCAGTAGTTTGGTGGCAGAACGTCTGCTTTGCCTGCAGGTCATTCCTTTGGTGTCTCCTAATTAGTGTCTCAAGTAGGACACTCTGGGAATGTCCTTTCTCTGCCTGAGAACTTGGAGCGCCACTTCTAGTCAAGAAAGAGCAACAGTCTGACTTCATATCCTTAATGCAGAAAGAGGTTGCAAGCAGCTTTACTGCCCCAAAGCAAAATCTGAATGTAAAAGCCATGGGATTCCTTTTATTAAGGTAAAGTTTCCCTTGCTCGAAAGCCAGTTGAATCCGACTCTAGGGCTGCGGTGCTCATCTCCGTTACAAAGCCGAAGAGCCAGCGCTGTCCGAAGACGTTTCCGTGGTCATGTGGCCGGCATGACTAAAGGCGCAGGGAACGCTGTTACCTTCCCACTGAAGTGGTACCTATTTATCTACTTGCAATTTCTTGCTTTCGAACTGCTAGGTTGGCAGGAGCTGGGGCAAGAGACGGGAGCTCACTCCGTCATGCGGCACACTCGGGTCTCGAACTGCTGAACTACCGACCTTCCACAGCCTGCAGTTCAGCGTCTTAACCATTTGAGCCACCACAGCTCCTTCCTTTTATTAGAACTAAGCAAAACGATACAAAAGGGTGACGGACTGTGCTGCTCGGTGCTCCAGAACTCCTTAGTAGGCTGGATGTTGTTTTAAAAAGGGGGGGGGGCAGCTGAAAGGTCCCAAGCAGAGGAAAGGGA